AAAAACAACAAAAATTTCAAGTTTAACTTTAAGGTTAGTTGTTAAACACTAAATGAAGTGGGAACTTTTCAATACATTTTTATTACTCAAAATGCACAGTGCTATCTAACTGAACCCTTAGAAATTCAGGCAGAAATTACACAGTTATAGGCTGGTGATGAGAGAAATGTGGTAGGAGATAATTGGTACTTGATTTAAACCTAATTTCAAGATTTAAAAAAAGGAGAAGCCTCAAAGTGTATTTTAATTTAGTAAACTTTTTTGGCACTGGGAATTGCACTCAGAACCTTGTACTTGTCAGGCAGGTACTGTGCCACTGAGCTATATTCTTGGCCCTCAAAATGTATTTGAAAATACAATAGCCCACACCTATAATCGTGGAACTCTGAAAATCTAAGGTAGGAAGTTTGCAAGTTCAAGCCCAACCTGGGCATCTCTGACTTAGCAAGATCCTGTCTTAAAATAGTCTTTTTGCCAAGCATAACGGTGCACATCTGTAATCCCAGTACTCAAGAGGCTGAGGCAGGAGGACTACTCCAAATTCAAGATCAGCCTGGGGTATGTAGAGAGTTCAAGGCCAGCCTTAACTATATAGTGAGACCCTGTCTCAAAAACAAACATTTTAACAAAGGCTGGGGATGTAGCTCAAGGAAAAGGTTCTGGGATCAATCTCACAGTGACTCTCTCTCTCTCTCTCTCTCTCTCTCTCTCCCCTATAAGAATGTTATCACTAGCTTTTTTTTTTTTTTTTTTTTGTAACAGGGATTGAACTCATGACCTTGCGTTTGCAAGGCTGGTGCTTATGCCACTGAGCTAAATCCCTGGCCCTCTTGTAAGAATGTTTAAATTGGAAAGATAAAGAACAAAACGAAAACCTCAAGTGGAAAGAGTTCATAGATCAATTTCTTAACCTGCTCTGTGTCTCAGGGATCTTGAACACACAAATGTTTTAGTAAAAAATAATTTTAAAAAACTAACAAAATAAAAATTACTGAGCAAACAAATACAGCCAAGCTGGGAAATATAACAAGCAGAGTAATCACCATCGTGATCTGTAGATTTATTGATATGAGATTTTTTGGCTTTTTTAATGGAGGTTAAGAGCAGAATATATTTATTGAGAGAAAGCTTCTGTCTGAGAGAGACAGAAGGTGGGTTGTCCTATGAGATTTTTTTTTAATCTTTTTTTTGTCTTTTTCGTTTTTATCAGTACCAGGGATCAAACTCACAACCGCACACTTGCAAGGAAGGCGCTTATGCCGCTGAGCTAAATCCCCAGCCCCTTGTCCTATGAGATTTAAAAGAGAGAAAAAATACACAAGAGTTCAATGGTTTTTAAGACATTTTTGCCTTGTGACTAAAAAATACTTTTCCTATAGGACTGTACTTATTATTTAACTTTCATTAGTATTTCCAAAATAGAGATAATGTTACTTGAGAAAAATCAACCATAGTCCCTATGCCAAGCAGCAAATAAAATAGTCTTATCCAGTTCACGTTGTATGAGGAATTTGGGTGGCCTCACATTTCATCTCAGTCACCCAAGATTAACATTTTGAAATACGTGAACCTTGGGGTTTTATCCAGTGTCTTTCCCTGCTTCTTTTGTGTGCCAGGACCTAGCACTTGCCAGGCAGGTGCTTATGCCACTGAGCTATATTCCCAGTCCTTTTTTTTAAAAAAAAAATTCTCTTAAATACTTTTTCTTTGATACTGGGAATCAAACTCATGGCCTCACACTTGCCAGGCAGGTGCTGGGCCACTGAGCTATATCCCTGGCTCTCTCTTTTGAAAGGATGTGTTGCTATGTTGCCCAGGCTGGCCTCACATGCCTGGGCTCAAGTGATCCTCCTGCCTCAGCCTCCCAAATACCTGGGGCTATAGGGACACAACACCATCTCCATTTTAGGCAAATACTTAAAGCTCACCTTCCAATGTACCTAAATGCTGAGGGAAAAGTGTTTTGACTTTGTGAATCTTTAAAGTAGAAGTGAATGCCGGTAGTGTTTGAGACTGTGTAACTATCCTAGGCTGCAAAATACAGGCAGATGCTGGGGGTTGTGGTGCTCATCTATAATCCTAGCATTCAGAAGGTTGTGACATGAAGATTGCTGTGAGTTTGAGGCCAACTTGGGCTCACAGTGAGTTCAAGCCCAGCCTGAATTATATAGTGAGATCCTGTCTCAAAAACAAAACAAACAAAAAACAACTAGAAGCCTACACATACTATGGACATTGATTATTTCTACCACAAACCTCCTGCTCGTAGATTAAAATTAAGAATACTACAATTCTTCTGTATTGACACTGAAATTCAAGAGACAGAACATAAACTATTTTTATTAGAAAGCTCACGTGTAAAAGATGGAATACTTCTTTATGGCAGATGGGGAAAAATACATGAACCTTTGTGCCAAAGAAGCAAATTTGCTAAGTTTGGTTAAGTTCTCCCAGTGCTAGTCTTTTAAAAATGTAATCACTTGCCAAGATTTAATGTAATTAAGCTACAATATTTTATAACATCATGATAGTCTCATTTAAGAATAACTACCTAGGTTCTTATAGTATTTGACTTGGTGATCACTGTTTCTTTATTGTTTGGTGTTGTTGTTTTGCTTTGTTTTGTTTGAAACAGGGTCTCACCATGTAGTTCAGACAACCCTTGAGCTCACTATGTAAGCCAAGGTGGCCTCAAATTTGCAGTGATCTTTTTGCCTCAATCCCCTAAGTGCTGGGATCACAAGCAGGCACACCATGCCTGGCTGGTGATCCCTGTTTTACAGGAAGAGAAATCATATAATCATATAATAATCCTCTCCAGAAGTAAATGGTGGAATTTGGCGTGTGTGTGCAAAGGGCGGGGCGGGGGGGGGGGTAACAGATTCTCATAGGGTTTTCCCTCCTTACTTTCTTGAACAGTAGGATTATAGATATGTACCACCATGCTTGGCTCTTCTGTTGCATTTCAAAAGCAAAAATTCAATTACATTTTTAAAAGTTGAGCTTCTCAACCATTAAGTTGTGTTAAAATTCAACATAACTGAGCTCATTTTACAAGAGATATACAATGGCACATGATAGGGTAAAAAACACACTTTGATTAATAACAAGATTATGTGACAGGGCAACTAGTCATAAAATACTTACATGTGATAAAGACTGTGCAACAGGATCTGAGCTATGTGCCCTGCAAGTCCTGAGTAGGAGTGGGGAGGACGTAAGTGACCTGGCCATGCAAGTCTGCAATTGGTGTGCACACTGCTTGAGAGCCATCCTTTGGCAAGAAATAATCTGTGCAACCGCCACTTCTAAAGCTGGGAGTTCAGCAGCCAGGCAGCTCTCTTGCCAGCGAGGTTTGCTCTGAATCCAAGCAGAATCTGTCAATGAGGTGGCACCTGGGAAACTTGGACAGAAAGGAATGGGCAAATGCTGGTGGCACAAGGCCATGCAGAAGCAGCACAGGAAGAGAGAGGCCTCTCATGTGCAGCGCAGGTCCCCAAGGGTGATGCAATGCAATGCATGCATCACATCCACATCATGGGCCCAGGTCCTGAACGGACTCTGGACTCTGAAGCACACCCTGTTGTGCTGAGCTCTGGGCCTTTGGAGCTGCTCTTTCCTCCTTCTGTAACTTGGGCTCCCTCAATCTTCCTTTCTCTGACTACTCTATGTTATTTTCTGCATCTTTCCTTAAACACCACTATCTCAGAGGTAGCTCTTGTTCACATCCCCACCATGCTCTCTGGACTTGCCCTTCAGAAGCACCTGTCACAGGGAATGGTGACCCTGAATCGCCCACACCCTTTCATAGCCTCAGAAGATGGTTAGACGGTTGAAAACAATTCATTATGTCTGCTTCTCAGCTCACCCACGTGTCTTCGGTGACACATCTGTGGGACTTCCTCATGGTTGTGAGCAGGGCTTAGAATATGGCCAACAATGGCCTAAGTGCTTAACGGAGTACTTCCCGAGGGCGGAAATTCTAGGGACATGCGAACAAGATGTTTTATAGGCATCTTGGAACATCTCGAAAACTGCCTGGAAAGTGAGATGAGATGGGAAAAGAGGGCATGTATGAGGAGAAGGTGAGGAAACTTGGATATATCTCTACAGGACAAGGTGGGGACAATAACATCTTAACCAGAGACCAGAAATCAGAACTCAAAGTTAGAGAATCTGAAAAGATCCAGGAAGTAGAGTTCTTACTGGAGAATCAAACTCCATGATAGTTCTGTGGCACAAAGTGGGTGCGAACAGTGAGCAGAAAGTCTGAGTCTTACCCAGGCAGACATCAAAGAAGGCCATAGACAGGTGCCCTGAAATAATGTAAGACCCAAGGTCAAAGACATTGAGAACTACACAAGAAACCACACTGCCTTTCTAGAATGGAAGCCAGCCAGAGTCTAGCATGGTGTTAGAAAGCTTTTTACCACTCTAGTTTTCAAAGAGCAGTAATCTCTCTTGTAGAAAAGAGTACAGCTAAAGAAAAAAAAAAAAGGAAAAAAGAAACCTTTTGAAGACTTTCTAGGCTTATCATACAGTCCAGTTGCTTCCTATGTCTTGCAAAGCCTGTCATCCCAGTCACATCTGTCACCATGATTAACCAGACAGTGACAGCAAAGGAATGAGTTACCTCAATCCAAAGGGGAATGGTTCTCTGCAGGCAGAAGAATCTGGGAAGGAAAAATAACTCCAGCCTAATTCTTCAAACAAACCGATTCAGTTTTACCTAGCAAAACATGAATGAGCACTCTCTAGGGGTAAGGTGGCAAGTGCTCCCTCCCACTCCCAACCTGCTTGTCTGACTTCCTCAGAACCTTACCCCACTGCAGCCCCAGCAGGGATTGGCTGAGCTGTTTCTGAGGCTGAGGAACTCTGGGACCCTGTGGTCTCCCCTAGCTAGGGAGGGTCTGTTAAGAAGCCTAGGTAGGACTGACTCCAGAAATAAGCCCGCCAGCCCTTACGTGGGGACACCTGAGCTTGTTAGATAGGGACGTTACCTCCTCGGCCCTCACTGGCAGCCGGCTTCACTTGGATCGGACGATTCATCTGAAAGACATTGGACCAACACACGCGCTCAGCAGGTCCATGTGGTCCTGGGACCGGGGTTTCTCCACCCCGGACTCCTCAAAATCTGAGCCCTGACCCCCTTGAAGTCTGTCCTCTACCATTCCCACCACGATCGCAGATCTTCTCCAAGACCCCTTCCTTAAATGGAGGTATTTAGAAAGGGCCAAAACCTGCAAGGATGGTGGCTCCAGGCAAGCCCAAGATGGATGGAGTTGGCCAAACAGGTCTGTCTCTCTCTGCCTCCTGAACTTAAAAGTTTTGAGGGAGAGGAGGTGGGTGGGAGGGTCCAACTGATACTGCACATTTGTGTTCTGGGATTTATGCTGTGTGTTTTGTAGATGAAATCAGATTTGGTGTTTTCTACCCTAACTCTACCATTTTGTCTGAGTGGAAGGAAGCCACTCTTGCTCAGGTGCAATTCATCAAACGGGGAAACCATTTCTAAGCCTGAGTCACCACAGTCTCTGTCTTCACCCTTTCTGTCCCTCCTGGGTCCCCCTCCTCAGAGAATGCTGGAGTGGCTAGGGCACCATCCTCAGGCCACTCCGCCTGGATGGTCTCACCCATGCCCAGTGCCCGCAGCTGCTCTGTCCACACAGGAATGACTCAGAGCTCCACACCCGGCCCCCATTATCTCCTGAGCCTCACATCCGTGCTCCCAGCTGCTTGCTGGACATCCTGGCTAGAAAGCCCTTGGTACCTTCCACTCATCACACTCGAACCCAAGCTCCCCAGACACCCAGGATGTAAACCCAGAAGCAGCTTGACTGCTCCCAGCATGGCTTCCCCACCCTCCAACCAGTTACATCTTTTAATTCAAGGGTTCGGTGACCAGATATGATTAAGAATCCCCTGGGAACTGTATGAGACTCTTAAATTGGGGGATTATAGCTTTTTAAGAGCTCCTAGGGGATGTTGAGAGACCCCAAACACAGCCCCACCCCCCAACCACCCTAAGTGAATTCATGATTGAACCCCATCTCACCTTCCTTTCATGGGTGTTGTGGGGATCACATGAGGTAATGGGGATGCAAAAGGTCTTGGTAAAGTGCCAAGAGCTGGGTGCGTAGGAGTGAGGAATTATTGTTGGGGGGGGGGGCAGACAGCTGAGTGCTGGGAGGCAGGAACAGCGGCCTTCCTGTTCACGGAGGAAGGGCTACTGATGCCCATCTGGCCTGAGAAGGTGATGATCTGACCCCCTCCCCTCAGGAAATGCATTGCTTCTGCACCAATCAGAGGCCACGCCATCTTCTACCAATGTGCTGGTTGCCGAGACAACAGGCAGCTTCCTGTTACCATAGCCACAAGTGCTACCCGGTAACTATGGTAACGCCCTGGCAGTCACAGTTGAGCAATTTCCTTTGGCTTAAATTTGGGGAGGTGGGAGGAGTGGGGAATACTTTTTAAAAAATAAAAACAGAGAAAGGAAAACAAGCAAAGCTTGAAGCAGCAGAGACCCTTTCCCACCCAGCTCTCTCATACGGCCACCCATTAGTGAGGGGCCAGTGTGCCAAGTGGTGGGTGGGAATCAAAACACCAACAGGACTCAGGGTGCAGTCTAGAAGGGATGAAAGATCAAGCCAAACAGAGCAGGAGTAGCAGGACAGGTCTGGACTGGCCTGGACCAGGGACCAGAAGGAGAGGACTATTCCTGAGTATTGCCACCTATGATAGTGAAAGAGAGACCACAGGGAGCAGAAACACAGGAGAGGCAGGGAAACACAGGAAGACAGCAGTGAGAGAAAGTAAGAGACAGACATGAAGGGAGCAAGGTGAGAGATGATCGGTGGGGATGAGAAGGAAATGAGGAGCTGCAAGGTCAGGATATGGGTGCAGCAGGGGCAGAGGAAGTCTCACAGGGAAGGGAGAGGGCAGAAGCCTGGGGTGCAGGCAGCAAGGCTCAGCAAGACCATCATTATTTTATTAATTCATAAATAGATCCTGCAATGCTCTCCCTGGGGCCTGGAGAGATGAGCACATGAGACAGCAGCAGTTTCCATGGCAGCTGCCTCCCAGCCAGGTTTCTCAGGAGAAGGCTCCCATTGATGCTCTGGCCAATGTCCCATCCCCACTTCCCACCGTTCCAGGGACAGTGGGCATTGAGTGATGGACTTAGTAGAGTCCGGGCACCAGAGGCTGGAGGGTGAGCCTCCCACCTGCCGCACAGAGATGGAGGCCACTGGTATTTTCATGAGGAGCCCCAGAGTGGCCCCACAAGGGAGACAGCACTAGATGTGGTTGCTTCCTTCACAGGCTCAGGAGGGGAAGATAATGCCACCATTTCCCACGGACATGCCATGTGCCAGGTTGTTCCTGGGGGCACTTAACTGTCCCTGAGTCCTTTCAATGTTCAGCCAGGTGATGCCATTGTCCCCATATACAGATGAAAACACTGAGACCGAGGGAGAGTATGTCACATGTCTAATGTCACATGGTGAGGAAGTGGTGGAGCTGGTGAAGGAAAGGTAAGGGACAGAGCACAGGTTCCCTAGGTTTGTCTGAGGGTGATGTCCATGATTTTTGCATTGTGCTGCTCAACTCCATTTTTTTTGAAACAGAGTCTTGTTAGGTAGTCCAGGCTGGCCTTGAACTCACTATATATTCCAGGCTGGCCCTGAATTCATAGCAATCCTCCTGCCTCAGCCTCCAGACTGCTGGGATTACAGGTGTACACCACCACACCCAGCTCAACTTCATTCTTGAAACATGAAAACAAAAAAAGAGACACAGAGGGACCAGGCCAGCTGAGGTGGAGAGCCTAGGGGTGATGGAGAGGGTGATGTTGGAAAAGCTTCACGAGGGAGCAGTATGTGACCATGGTCATTGGTCACATGGACATATTGGGAGAGTGACGGCTGGCAGCTGAGTGCTCAGATGGCCAGGCATGGGCATGAAGTTGCCAGGGTAAAACAAATTGCTTCTGAGTCTGACGTGGACTCCAGTCCTGGCTACAGTGCTAGATGTGGTGGCACATGCCTGAAATCCCAGCATTCAAGAGGCTTCTGAAGCAGGAGGATCGTTGAGTTCCGAGGCCACCCTGTGCTACATGGTAAGTTAAGGCCAGCCTGAACCACATAGCAAAACCTTGTCTCAAAAAACTTAAACAAGCAAGCAAATCCTGGCTGCAACCCTGGGAATTTCTCTCCAGTCATTGAGCCTCAGCAACCTCATTCAGGAAAGGAGAACTCTCAGGGTTGGGATGAATAAGACAGGGCTGCACCTCAGTGTGTGCACCAGATGTCCTGCTCGTTTCTGGGTGCGTGTGTTTTTGTCTTGATATGGTGGAAGGCTGTGCCACTGAGAGGCGGTAGGGTGGGCCATGAAAGCACAGGAAGGGATTCCAACTGTGGTGTGTTTTGAAGGCAGTGAGGACCCAGGGCAGGCCTTCAGGAGGGGAGACTGTAGTCAGTTTAGTCTCGTGATGCATTCCTTCAGCTGTAACCACGCAGAGAGGACTAGAAAGAGGGCAACTCAGGCAAGAAGATGGGTACAGGTAAGAGGTGGGAGTGACTCGGATCAGGGTAAAAGGAACCAGGCAGATTCAAGAAACGTTCAGGGAGAGTTAACTTGACTTTGGTTTCTTTAGGGAGGAGGCAGTGTCAGCGGATGCTCACTTGGGCTTATGGCAGAGAAGTGGAGGAAATTGGCAGTTTGGGAGTTTGCAGGGTACAGGGAATTCCAGGAGAAGAGACCAAGAGGGTGAGTAGAGTGGGGGAGAATACTGCTCCCCAGGGTTCTGCGCCTCCATGCCCACGGGGCACTGGGATTTTCGTGCTATGTGTGGCTGAAAGAGAGCTGGCCGCATGAACAGCTTGGGCAATGGGGCCCTGCCTGGTTCCTGCCAGGACTGGGGGAGAGAGCTGGGAACCGGATGAGGTAACCGGAATCCCTCTGTGTCTGCTTTAGGCCATGGAGGGGCAGTCAAGGCAGAGAATATCAGAGCACCTGGTGAGAACCACCAATGTCACACACAGAGAGGGGAGGTCAATGGTAGCACAGCCATGCTCAAGACCCCAGTCCTTCCAAGCCTACAAATGGAGGGGGAAGCAGCGCTGGCTGCTAAACAATTTTGTTTCGGCTAGGTGTCACTGTCCCTCCTCTCTGGGCTCCTCTCCTCTACTCCTCCCTCCCCAGAGCAGGAAGCAGGGTTGAGCCTGGGAGAGGTGTTGTGAAATACAAACAAATGTAGAATACTCTGAACGGAATGTGGTGGCTTATGCTTGTGATCCCAGCACTTGGGAGGCTGAGGCAGGAGGATGGCTGTCCGTTTGAGGTCAGCCTGGGCTACAGAGACACTGCCTCAACACACAAAAAAGCAAGTTTCATCATTTTCAGCAATTCATTCCACTTCCCTCCCTCACTATCCAGCCCCACTAGTCCAGAATCTCTGTGGATGTCCTCCCATCCAAGTACTAACCAGGCCCGACCCTGCTTAGCTTCCGAGATCAGACGAGATGGGGCGCGTTCAGGGTGGTATGGCTGTAGACTTCATGGATGTCCTAAGTCCCACTCTGCTCCCCACACCTGCCTTGTCCCCAGCTCACAGCCAGCACACCTCCTGATTCACCCAGATGCCAGCAACACTGTCCTGCAGGGCTATCCTGTCTCCAAGTGCTGCTCCCTCTTCCACTCGACCTTTACAGTGTGGCCAGAGAAGCTTCTTTATTTTTTTGTGTCTTTTTCCTTTTTATTGGTACCAGGGATCGAACTCACAACTGCCTGCTTATAAGGCAGGCGCTTATGCCGCTGAGCTAAATCCCCAGCCCCCAGAGAAACTTCTTAAAAGCAATCCCTTCGCTTGCCTTAACTCCACCATAGGCCCTGGTAAAGCCCAGGATCCTCACAGCTCCCCCGCCCCGGTGCCCAACACACACAGCGCGCTCTCCACCCATGGGCAGCCCCAGTATTTGCTGGGTGTCCTCCAGCTGTTCTGTGTGATCCCCAGCATCTCAGAAGTGGCCTTTGGCTTTTCGTGTTCACAAAACATAGCAGTGATTCCAATCAGCAGCTCCTCTGCCAAGCATCTTCCACCTCACTCCGATGCTTGTTTTGCCTGCCCAGGGTGAGCCCCGGGCTTGAATGGGGAGTGATTGCTGCTAGGCTGGCTGCTCCTTGAGGTCAGAGTTCTCAGAGTCACCCCTGAGCAGACAGCAGCACATAAGGTGCCTTTTATAGATGACACAAAAGCGCTCCCAACCCAGGAGACAGATGAGAACAAAGCATGCCTCTTCCTTTGGGCTGATACAGCTCTAGATTTTGGCTTCCTTTTGCTCCCTGTCCAAGATATTTTGTGCAAACAAATACACTTTGTTGTTCAGCTCTGTCTGCTTCCTTCCTGTTTGAAGTGGGTCCCCCAGGAAGGGCGCTCCTGGACAGAGAAACAGACAAATAAGGGGGTATGCCCCCCAGAAGTGGGGCTAAAATTGGCCTCACTCCTTTCAGGTTGCTGCTGAAGCCTAAAGTGAGGCTGTGAGCCGGCCACGGTGGTGCACACCTATAATCCCAGCACTGGAGAGGCTGAGGCAGGAGGATCACCATGAGTTCAAGGCCAGCCTGGACTACACATGACACTCTAGCCCCAAAACTAAGTAAACAAATAAAAAAGTGAAGCTGGCTGGGCTTGTTGGTGCAGGCCTGAAGTCCCAGAATTTGGGAGCCTAAGGCAGGAGCCCAATCATGAGTTCAAGGCCAGCATATCCTGTCTCAAAAAACAAACAAACAAACAAATGACAGTTGGAAGAAGTAGCTCCAATGTCATAGGGAGGAGGCTGCAGCAGACAGGAACCACATAGGACAGAGCAGAAAGCCTCAATTTGTTTTGGAGTCACTGTTATCCTGGCTGGGCCCAAACTAGTGATCCGCCTGTCTCAGCCTCCCAGGGTGCTAGGATTACAGGCATGTGCCCACATGTCAGGCTGGAAGTTGGATTTTGATAAGTGACAGAAATTGTGGGTAGGCAAGTAGAGGGAAAGTAGCAGGAGGACTCAAGCTGGGCATGGCAGCACATGCCTGTAAATCCAGCACTCTGGAAGGCAGAGGCAAAATCACAGGTTCGAGCCCAGTTTGGCAACTTAGTCACTTACCAACACACTGTCTCAAAATAAAAGAACAAAAAAGGGCTGGGGATGTAGTTTAGTGTGAAGGCCCTGGGTTCAATCCCCAATACCAGGGGAAAAAAGGGAAAGAAGAGATCACAGTCTAAGCAATTCCATTAAATCCCCAACCCTGCCCCTGGGCAGGGCCTAGGTTTTCTCTCGGGAGTTGACTAGGTTTTTCTAGACCCACAATGACTCCTTCATGTTGGATTGCACCAGGAGCCCTGCGCTGATGTCCTGTCCTTCTCCTGCTCCTCCAGCAGGTGGCAGCTGTTCCCAGGACCCAGCGCCTTGGGGAGCTGGACTCCAGTTCCTCTCCCTGTGTGGGCTGCCAGTCCAGATGACTGAAGTTGCTGCTGGCCCTGGCCAGCAGGCCGAGGAGAAAGATGGATGGCATGAGCATGGCTGGGGCTGGCCAGCACAGCTATTGATTTTCATTTAGGAGAATAATTAAATATTAATTTTCACTTTGTTAAGCTAGGGAGAGTGAAGAAAGCCAATGCTGGCGGTAGCAGAGGAAGCCAGGCCACACTGGGGGTCTGCAGATGGTCAGGTAGGAAAGGGTAGACCCCAGTCACCATCATCCCTAGTACCTAAGGGCCCTGTCTGCCATCATGTTGGTGCAGGTGACAGCACAATAGTTAAGTGAATGAGTTCTGGAGCCAGATTAACTGGGCTGGAAGCCCAGATCTTTCCATTAGTCGATCCACAACCTTGGACAAGTCACTTGACTTATAAGACTCAGTTCCCTCATCTGTAGAATGGGGATACCAAAACAATACCTTCTCATGAAAGATACAATGATTTAGAACATGGAAAGTAGCTGGCTGTAGTGATACACACCTATAATCCCAGCACTTGGGAGGCTGAGGCAGGAGGATTGCCAACCTGTGCTCATAATGAGTTTAAGGCCATCTTAAACTTGTATAGTGAGCCCCTGTCCCAATAAAACAAACAGAAAGAACATGGAAAGAACTATCAACACTAGTACTCGTCTTCGTTAGTTATTATTCTTTTGTTTTTCTCCCCGATAGTTCTCCTAGCTCTCAAGGTCTTCAAAGTCCTTAGCTCAGGTGTCCTCAGCTGTTAGAGCCCTCCAGGGAGACCTCATGGAGTACAGTTCTGTGCCTGTTGGAAAGTTTTTCTTCCTGCCACCGAAGTTCATCTTAATTTATTGCAGTTTCTCTCATTGGCTTTCAGGAGGAGGTGGAAATCCCTGTGGTGGCGGTGACGTTCAGACTCCCTTCAGCTGCTGCTCCCCGGAACTCCGCCAGCCCCGCTGCACTTCACACCCGCCTGTTCCTTCTGCCTCTGCCCAGTTACTGAGCTGTTTCCTGCATGGATGTCACAGCTCGCCTTGAGGGCTCCCAGTACCAGCGGCAGACTCGTTTGCTCCTGCGATGAGATGAATGATGACTTGGCCTACCGTGCCTACCCGTGCTGCTGGTGCTCTTACTACTGCTGCTACTGGCCAACCTGCACTGAGCGTGATTTTCTGCCAAGAACTGTGCTAAGCACTTTACACGACTTGACTTTTTCAACCAACATGACAACTCTGTGAGCTCAATCATGCCTGGGAGGTGGGGACTAGGACTTCCTTGGGGTCACAGCGCTAGACGGCAGCAAGGTCTGAGTCTACACTCAGGTCCATGCGACTCCATAGCTTGCATGCAGAAGATGGACAATGGTTGGCAGCTGGAGCTACTTGGCCCTGAGTCTCCAAGAGGGTCAAGCTGCCTCAGTGACTGTGATGGTCAACTCTTACAAAGCTCGTTCCTTTGCTGGACAGCTCATCTCAGAGCAGTGACTTCCTTATACTGTACCTTGTTGAAACAACCTTTGTCCACTCAGATTGGTCTATCCTGATTCGGGTCTCTGGGGCCACGAATAGAAGCCAAATCCCTCTCCAGAATCTGAAAGCACTTGCCCCTGACTCCAACAATCATGCCTCCTAGGATCTTAGGTACTTGCTAAGAGCCAATTAATCTTACCTTACTATAGCAAAGGGAGCTAGGTGTTACTACGGCTCACTCTTTGCAGATGAGTAATCTGAAGATCAAGAATCTAAGGAATGTTTCCAGAGACAGAATTGGTAAATGGCAAAGTTAAAATTCAAATCTACATCTGGGAAACTTGAAAGCCACTTATTTTTTGGTCATACTGTGTAGTTCTGGTTGGCCTTGAACTCATGGTGATCTTATTACTTCAGCCTCCTGAGTCTGGGATGACAGGCATGTACTACCATGTCCAGGTTAAAAATCAGTATTCTTAATGACTATGTTACAATGCCTTTCTATTTAAGTCCCACTTAAAGCTTCTCTGGTAACTTCTCCTCAGTACTTTCCAACATCACCCCAGAATGGTTTGAGGCATTGTTCCCGCCTGCTGTTGACTTGATTTAGTAAACTAGTGATTCTCTTAAAGCAGAGACCTAGAAAGGACACAGTCCTGGGGGTTTGGCCTGTCCATGACATTTGAAGAGACTCTTGCCCTAGACATGCCACTCTTGAGACAAACAAGAGAATATGAGGCTACGCAGTGTGCTTGTTCTTGCTAACCCATGTACACTGGTGACTTCCATCTGCCACTCAGTCTGAAGGGCCCACTTGGCCTTTTATTCTGTGATTATCCATCAGCCAAGAACAGACCCTGTGGTGGGTATGCTTACAAGTTCCCCGGCCTTAGTTTCTCGCGAAACTTTAGCCAAACGTTGGAGTGTCAGAGCAAAGAAAATCTTGGTGAGTAAAGGCATCCACTCTCCAAAAGTATCAGGAGAAAGGGGCCAAAGGGAAGTGCCACAGAACTATCGAAAGCAGTGTACCAGCCCAGCAGAGCTTCCCACCCCATATGACTACATGCACACTCGTACCAGTGACTACCTGTGTGCTCACACATGGAGCCGTGCTTTTAGCCTAGGTGAACAAATTCTAGCCTAGTCCACAAAATGTTTGCCTCTCTTAAAATATAGGAGGGAGTGGGGCTGGAGATTTAGCTCAGCAGCATAAGCACCTGCCTTGCAAGCAGGCAGTCGTGAGTTCGATCCCTGGTACCGATAAAAATGAAAAAGACAAAAAAAAAAAAAAAAAAAAAAAAAAAGATAGGAGGGAGTGCTTGGCCCATGGATCTTGAGCCCATTTCTTTGAGTGGGCAGACTGAGTTTTGTAGAAATTGTTGTTCAGAGCATAGTGCGTGCTCACCTAGGAAGTGATGCTGCTCCTGGTTCTCAGTCCCAACCCAATTCCATCTGAGCCTCTTGCATGTGCACAGTGCACAGTGCACTGTCCCCAGTTTGGGCAGACTCCCACCCCCAGCCCTGGTGACTTACCCCCGGCAGGGTCTTCTGCTCATGCAGAGCACTCTGGGCCTTGAGAGCAGAGTCCCGGGCGCAGTAGGTGAGGAAGGCACAGCCTGAGGAGAAAGGAGCGGGCTCAGGGGTTTTCCTGAAACCCCAAATACCCTCCTTGGAAAGACCCCTACCCCATGCTGGCAAACATAAGCCCACTTTCCAGTGAGCCCAAACACTATTTCTTGGCCTCCTACTTTTTCTGCTGGGGTGGGTCTTCTCATCCCTGGAGACCTGTATCCTATGCTCTGGTTCCATTTCCTGTGCTCCTGGCCCAAAACCTAGGGACCGTGCGTGCCCCTACACAGGCGCCTGCTCCTGCAATCTCCTATGTTCCCCTCCTTGCCTCAGCTGGAAGTCCTGCTGAGGAGGTTAAACCTCCTTAAGCGGCTTTGCTTTCATCTTCAACTCAAACTCCCCTTCCTTTTTGGATCTAGGCTCATGGAGTCCTTCAGAATTGGCCTTATTTCTTTCCCAACAGTTTCAGATAAGAGGCCCAAGCCCAGGACCTTTTATAGCTCCTTCTAACACCTTCCCCCTTTAAGTTTGACGCTGGGGGATGGGAAGAGAGGTGGGAGCTTCCGGGGACCCCCTAATCCTACTCATCAGATTGATCTGCCTACTCTCTCAGGGCATCAAGATGCGGCTCTCAAGAACCAAAGGGTTCTTGGGTCTCAAGTCTGATTTCTTTCAAAGGAGCAACATAGGGCTGAGGATTTAGCTCAGCGGCATAAGTGACTGCCTGACTAGCATGAGGTCGTGAGTACCTGGTAGCACAAAAAAAAAAAAGAGCAAGATAGAGGGCAGGGAAGGGTTGAACCAAAGGGTCAGCAACCCACTCCTCTTTGTTTAGCCTCAGGAACTAGAGACTAAGAAGCACTGAGGCCGGAATCTCTTCCTTTCCAGTGCTCGCCGATCCATCTACTCATTGAGAAAATATTGAATTGTTATTAGGGAGCATTCCCTACCTTCATGAAAAATAAGATCAAACATGGTGGGGCATCTACCTGAGTCCAAATGAATTAAGAATACCTCAAAGAAGACACCAAGTATTTGAGAGCAAGAACATGAAGTCCTCTAGAACCAAGCAACAAAAGGACGGAGATTACTTCAGGTAGAGGGAAAAACACATATGGAGATCGAGTCAAGAATTTAGCATACTGGGGCCAGGAGTGGGGTACATATCTGTAATCCCAACAGTAGGAGAGTAAGACACAGCAAGATCATACTTTAAAAAAAAGAATCACACTTTAGAGCCCAGACTACTTAGCAACTTAGTGAGACTCTATCTCAAAATAAAAGAATAAAAAGGTCTAGGGGTATAGTTCAGAGCAAAAGCTCTACATCCAATATCCTGTACTGAAAAAAAAAATCATTGTGCTGGGAAATAGAAGACTAGCAGGGCTGGAGGCTGGTGGTGGAGTGGCTAGTGATGTAGGCAGGAATTACAGGCCTCAATCTGATTTTAAACTTTATCCTGAAAGCAATGGAGAGCCACTAAAGGGTTTTAAGCAGGCGTGTGACATTATAAGATCTATGTTTTTTAAAAGATCCTTTTGAGTGTAGGAGGGAGGAGGACTCAAGGAGGAGAAAGTAGATGCCCGAAACCATTAGGAGCTTGGTACAATTTTCCACTTAGACCTCAGCAGACTAGAAAAGCAAATGGGAACATTTTTTTTCAGGTGTCCTTTATTAGGGTTGTCTCCTGAAGATGAGGGAGGGGATATCTGCTATTCATTGAATTAAGGGGGCCTCAGACAACACCCATCAGACTCATGCATTAATAGGGAACCTGAAGCCCAGGGTGTAGCAGTAGCAAGGTGATATTTGGCAATTTCAACTTCAAGGCTGGGCTGTTTTCAAAGCACTATGGTTATTTCCCTTGGTACCCAGCTATCAAAAGGAAAATGAATCACTCTTTGAGTGACTAGCTTTGAGATGCCACCTTCACTGAGGAGAGGGTGGGGGTAATGTTAACTCGGAGACCCTCCATGATCATCTTTCGAGGTGGCACTTGCCTCAGAGAGTTAGAATGCAAATAAATCCCCAAACACCTGATTCCACTTACATCACTACCCTGTCTTCTGCCACCAAACCAAATCATCTGACGTCAGAAGCAGGCGGAGGACATGGCAGAAAGGCTCTGGGACCAAAATGCTACCTAAAGGAGTCTATGTGGCTTGCCTAGGGTAGAAGGTAGAGGAATGGAAGGACTGAAATAAACAGAATTGCGTTTCGAGAGACAGAAGGAAAAGAGTGGGGAACAATTAGAGCTAACAGGGAAAGAGAAAGAGAGGGCGAGGGAAGAGTTCAGAGACCCTCAGTGTTTGAGAAGAGAAAGAATGAAAGGTATTATATATTCCTCCTTTTTGTACAGATAACCTACAAAAAGTTTAGGTTGGTATTTACTTGGTGAAATCAATGGCTAGAAAATGTTACTATGGGTGGTTGGGCAGATACGTGGGAAGTTGAGGAGCATTATAAGGACTCTGGATGGTGGGATCTTGTCCTTTCATGGCCTGTGTAACATATTCCATCCCTACCTAGATGGTGCCAGCGCTTCTACCGGAATCCTCCTGAAGCCCCTGTGTTAGTCTTCCAGCTGAAAAGCGGTGGGCGCCTTATCTTAGCTTTCACCCCTTAGCAATCCAGCTTTAGCTGTTACTTGGGGCCAATTTTAAGAGAGAAGGATCAGGAAAGATAGACGGTGTCTCTTCCTCACCAAAAACCTGAAACTACAACATGATGCAGTGTGGGGAGATGAGGATGTTACCCGGAAAATGATCTCCCCTTCCCCTGCCCACGTATGACACGTGACTCTGTTCTATCACTTCAGCTCAGCCCAGCAGACTTTTCTGTATGTAAACAAGCCTCCTCCCTCCTTCAGGCAGAAAGGGGTGTGGCTGGGTTTCTAGCAAGGGCAGGAAGACGATCGCCCCCCCTTCCTCTTCGGCCGGACCCACCCGGAGAGGTCTCTGGAGGGAAGGAAAGCGGGCTGCTGTGAGGAGCCGAGGGGCGCGGGCCAGGGGGGTTAGAGGACGGAAGATGCGAGGATTCAATTAAGGGGAAAGCAAAGACGAAGGGGCCCGAAGTGGCATGAGTTCCCGGCCGAGGCTGGGAGGTCTGATTTCAAATCAGAAATAGAGTGTGTTGGGATTCCGGCAAAGGTACGGGGTAGGGCACCTGTGAGGGGACATTTGTAACTCCTGGGAGGTGAACTGCACTTCTCTGCTCGACAGTTCTGGGTTCCACAGGAAGGGAGAGTTCAGGTCTGAGGGGTTTGGGGCTGGCAGTCTGAGCGGCAGGCGAAGGCTCTGGGGATTGGCTGGAGTCGGAGGCTGGGAGGTGTGGTGCAAGTCCAAGATCCTGGTGTGAGTAGTTGGGCCTGGGTGGGGCGGCACCAGGTGGAGGGTTCGGGAACACGCGGGGCCGGGGTTCGAGGGTATGCGAAAGCCAGGAGGTGAGATAAGTTTCCAACACTGCAGGATCTGGGAGGTGTGGTGGGAGGGACTGCGAGGTCCACCTGCAAGGCGGGACTGCAGGGATGTGAGAGGGCTGGGAGCGTGAGCAACCAGAACGTGCTAGGAGGAGACCAGAGTGACGATCCGATCCGACCCGATCCAATCCGATCCAGAGAGCAATCTGGGCTGGGGACTTTGGGGGAGGAGGGTCGGGGCAGAGGTGGGCAGGACCGGCTCTGGGTAGGGCTGAGGCGGGGGCTGCGGCCCGAGCTGGGTCTGGGCCGCGCTCTAACTGGGCTGGGCCGCGCTCTAACTGGACCGGGCCGGGCCGGGCCGGGCCGGGCTGACCCCGCGCACCTTTGTGGAGGCCGGTGAGCCGGTCCTTCAGCACCGTCAGTTCGTAGATGCGGCCGAACTCCTCGAACAGCGGCTTGAGGTCCTGCTCGTCCAAGCCCCGCGGGATCTGCCCCACGAAGAGCTTGATGGCGTCGTGGTCCTTCATGGGCACCGCGGCCCCGGGGTTCAGCCCGCTCGCGCCAACGCCGCTGTCCGCGGTGCTGAAGCCCAGACGCGGGCCGGGGCCGGCGGGCGACGCGGACCCTCTGGGTGCCGCGGCCATGCCCCGCCCTGTCCCCGCCGGTCCCGCCGGTCCCGCCGTCCCCTCCCTGGACCGGTGGCGAGGGCCGGGGCCGGGGCGGGGCCGGCGGCGAGGGCGGGGGGCTGTCGGGGCGGGGCGCAGGGGCGTCGAGCGGGATGGGCGGGGCCGGGGGCGGAGCCGGGGCGGAGCGGGGCCTGGCGGGGGGGTCCGGCTGGGGGTCCCCGCGCGGCGCTCTCCGGGCTCCCGCCCGAGCTCCGGGAGCCGAGCCCCGAGCCCCGAGCCCCAGCCCCGTGCTTGGTGACGTCAGGCAGCTGGCTGCGGAGTCTACGCAAATGATTTGCATAATGAGGAAGCGGCGGCCAATCAGAGTGGGAGTTGAACGGTTTCAACCTGGGGCGGGAGGGGCTGGCGGGCTCACGCGCTCCTGCTCGCCATGGCAACCCGACCCTCGGCGGCCCGGTGGGTGTGCGGGCGTGGCCGCGAAGCGCGCGTGTGCGCCCCGGCCGGTGGGAGGGGCGGGCGCTTCGTCATGTGTGCTGCTGTCTGCAGGAGTAGGAGCTGATCCCCTCCGCATACGCGGGTACACACAGGCACACACACCTCCAAGAACTGGAGTGTTTTTTGCGGGGGCGGATGGGGATTCCTCTGCTTCCCACTATCGCCCCTGGGACTGTAGCTCACACTCGCGCCCTCTGCCTGATGGCTCAACTCCTTCCTTACCCCAAGCGATACATCTCCCCTGCACCCCTGGAAAGAACCCCAGAACTCTCCATGACCACTGATTTCCTCCGCGCGAGGGGGAAGGAACTTCTGTGAGCCATATTTGCTCAACACCTGTCACGCACCAGGTGTCCGGCTCTTCCCAGCTCTGTAAACTCGAGTCTTATCCTCCTTTCCCAGAAGATAAAGCTGAGATCCCCAGGGTCACAGAGGATGGGACGAGCCCCGCCCCTGACATTTGCTGGGTCCAGGAAAAGGATGAAATGCAACTCGACCTATCAGGTGTCTTAACTATTTAAAAGCTATACATCTAATTACACTTTGTGGGATAAAATGTTTGCCTCTTTTACAGACACACGTTCATAATAGCAAAAATGAAAAAAAAATCTGCAAAGCTATGCATTTTATTTTATTTTATTTTATTTTTTACCAGAGATGGAATTCATGACCTCACGCTTGTCAGGCAGGCGCTTATGCCACTAAACTAAATCCCCAGCCCAAGATACACATTTTATATGACATACACTTGGCAAGATATCAGCACTGATGGGATGTTTTTACTGTGACAAAAAGTAGGAATCCTCTTGGTGCACCAGAAATGTTTGGACAAAGTAGCAATGCAATAAAAATAAATGCTTCAGCTGGGTGTGATGAGATCAGCCAGCAATGCATAGCTGAGACCCTGACTCAAACAAACACAATGTTTTTTAAAAATACGATAAATGAGCCCCTAGCAGGGCGTAGTGGCTCACGCCTGTAATCCCAGCTCTCAGGAGGCTGAAGCAGGAGGATCTTTGCAATGTCGAGACCAGCCTGGGCTACCGAGTGAGCTCAAGGCCAGCCTGAACTGCACAGTGTGACCCTGTCTCAAAAAGACAAAAGAAAAAGATAAATGATTCATAAATTTTTATATTTCTTCCATAAATTTTTTTGCCTTTTTGTAAAAATGCAAATTGTATTATTTTAATGTTTTAACAGGACTTTGTAAGAATTTTTTGATGATTCAAGAAACTGCTCAAGAGCAGCATAGCAACTAGACTCATCAAAAAATTCTTATGGGGCTGGGGATTTAGCTCAGCGGCATAAACACCTGCCTTGCAAGCAGGCAGTCATGAGTTCGATCCCTGGTACCAATTAAAAAAAAAGAAAAAGAAAAAGACAAAAAAAATTCTTACAAAGTCGTGTTTAATAACTATGTTTGTTTTTGAGACAGGATCTTGCCATGTAGTGCAGGCTGGCATTGAACTCACAGGGATCCTCCTGCTTCAGCCTCCTGAATGCTGGGATTACAGGTGTGAGCCACCATACCTGGTTTAATAACTGTGTTTTTTTTAATTCTAATTTTGTTTTCCCACAGAATTTTTAAAAGATAAAATACTATTGAACCTTGCAATCTGCCAGCATGCCTTGTTTCTACAAGAAGTATGCCAGACTATGAGACTACATAGCAAAGAAGCTTTAAGAGCATTTGGTTGGGAGAAATAGAAAAACCAGCCCTCAGGGAAGACTGGACTAGCCCAGAGATTGACCTATGTCCCTGACTAGTCCTTGTGTTTTCAGATCCTCATATGTTTTCTTATTTATAACATTCCCACTGGAGTCTTGATGGTCTTCCTCGCTCTGAAATCCTCTGTAGCTTCAGCTTGGCCCACAAGGAGACAGCATCTTCAATCTGTGTCACGTTAGCAAGGCGTGCAGGATTTGGAATGCCCAAACACCTCATGCCATAAGCATGATGCCATTCAGCAAAGTGCTGCTGGAAGGCCTTTAGGCCTTCGGTAGCTGTAGCTTCCACAAATCGCACAACTGTAGTAGGCCACGTAGCTTATATAGTCAGTAGAGGCTGGGCTTGCTATTCCAGCACAGCAGTAGGGTTTTGGGGTTGTAAATAATCTCATTCTCTTCATCTTCACTTTTACTCTCACTGGTCTCCTCTTCTTCCTCCTCTTCTTGCTCTTCTCCTGTCCTGACTTGCTTGTCTTGTATATTTTCTTGAGTGAGCTGTTGATGTTCCCTAAGAATCTCAATGTATTCATACCTCTGGGCTTCTAGGAAAGCAATGGCTTTTTTTCTGTGTCTCTCTTAGTGCCCTTGGATTTGGGATTTTTGGCAAATGGGGAGGTGTTGAGTGATTCCAAGGACTTTCCCTTTGGTGCTAAATAGCCTCTGGGCTTGCTCTTCAAGGATACCAACATATTTCAAGCCCAAAGCGAAGAGTGCAGGCTTTAGTCTGTCTAGGCCCAGAGGGGCCAACTCCTCAGAGGAGAAAAATATAGACAGATCAAGACAGGCACCAGCATGGGTCAGGGCACTGCTTGTCTCTTTCAGTCATCCAGGGAAGCTACTGTTCTCTCATTTCCTGTCAAATTCGGTCTGTATCTTCCCAAAAAGTTCATTCTGATCTTGAAGGAGCTCCACTCTGTGTAATTCTGAAGATACTCAAACAGCATTTCAAGGTATCTCTCATACACTAAATTCTTCCTTTATTTCCTGTCAAATAACTGGTCAAAGACTGACAGGCATGTGATATAGTCTAGCTTCTCAGTCACCTTCAGGTTAATGTACCTGAGGTAACAGTCATGGGGGTCCAGGTAACAGCCACATCTCTCTTCATCTGTGATCTCCAAGTTTTGTGCCTCTTTACTTGGATTCTCTTGAGCTTTCAGGAGCTCCTCCAATTCTACTGATCCTGGCACACATCTCATTTGGGTGCTTCCCGTGGAATTCCTTTATTTGCTTGAGTCTGTTGCAGAATTCAGCAAATTCATTCCGTCCTGAAATGGCCTTGAGCGCCTCCTTTCATAACGCATCCTCACCGCCATACAAATCACTGAGGTTCCCACTGATCTCCATAAACCTGTCTTGCGTGGCCTGAGTGTGGTAGTCGGAACTGATCTGGTCCCAGAGTATGGACTTCTTAGATGAGCATCTCTTTGGCCATTACATTCACGAGCCGTTCCTTCTCCTCATAGTACAGCCACTGCTGTTCTGGAATCATCTCCATCAACCCTTTGTGACCGCACAATTCAGGCCACGGATACAACTGGAAACAGCTCCTACTGCCTGTGCGCCTGTGTCCCCTCACTGCCAATAACTATGTTTTTTAAAATTATTTTTCTTCTTTTTTTTTAAACTACTGTGATTAAACCCATGATTTTCACACTGAGCTACATCTTCAGGCTTATTTATGTATTTGTGTTCATGAGCAAATAGAAATTTATTTAAATGCAATGTCATCTTCAATGTATTTAAGAATCTTGGGACAGCATGCCAGAGGTACTGGAACATGTCACCTTTCCCTACAACACCCTTGAAATTCATCCAATCCAAGTTCACAGCTTCAGAAATGTAGTTGTTCCTTTAAGTCAGTGTTCTTCAGGCGCCTGGTTTTTTTTTTTTTTTAAGAGAAAGAAACAGAAAAAAAGATACATGGAGATAAAAAAAAGGGTAGAAATAATACAGAATTACAGAAAAATAAATGGTAAGAAATCACCAGTTGATAAGTTACATATTGTCATCTTAGAAATAGTTGTTCAGGTTAAAAAATTAAAGTATGTAAAGTGACATTCAAATAGTGACACTGCCAACAGTTCGATCTAACAAAAACTTAGTAATATGGTTATTGGTCCTATACACTTGTTTTTTATCTTAAAGAGGGTAAGATTAAACATCAAAACAGAACAAAACAGTTCAAAAAGAAACAATTTAAAGAAATACAGATTTCAAAGCAAGTCTACTGAAGATCTTCACTGTTTATCTAATTGTCTCTAGTTTCTTCCAAATAGTTGTCCCCATCCTTACACACATTAAATACATACTGCATGTTATAGAACTAATCAGCTCATTACAGGATGATGAAGGCTTTTTAGGTCTTCAAGATCTGACATTGGGGAAAACAATAATAACTACCATAGTGTCTCTCATTCTCTTCATAGTAGCTGTCCTTATTTTTACATATGCTGAAATTGAACATAAGACTAGACTAATATCACTCTGATCAGTGAATAATAGTATTGCTAGATTTTATATCATAATGCTACAGAATTAGCATTGGGTTTCTTAGTGTCTCTTCTCCAGAGTATCTGTTCATTACATCTTGCATTATATAATCTGTTCCCATAAATAGTTTTTTAAAAAATCTTCTCATGTGTGAATTTCTATATGTATATCTATCCTCTCTGTATTATTGGGAAAAACAAATCATAACAAGACAGCAAAACAAATTCCTAGAAAAACATTCAATGAAAAAGACATATAAGACCACAATATTAGGTGATCTTAATATAGTTAAGCACAGTATTACATAGTTATTTTTATAAAAACACAACTTTGAAAACATTATAGGACTTGAGAGCAGTTAATAATCAAAACCGGTATGGATATCTTTTACATCTTGTCATCTTCTTACATCTTGTCATCT